CACTCACCCGTGAGTTGTCTATCTCAGCATCTGCTGTCTGTTGTGTTTGGGTGCTCTCATGGCCCAGGAGCTGCTTCAGAGCCCTCTGTTCTGTGCTGTATGTCAAGGTGTGCTGGAGATAGTGATTCAAGGCAGTCCTTGCCTTTAGGTTGAGATTTCAACTAAGTGGTTTAGGAATAGAGAGAAGCCTCTGACAGCAATAGTAGTCTAAGCCTTGAGTCATCATGAGAAAAAGTAGAAGAGCCTCTAGTTCTGAAAGAATGATATTCATAAGAAATCTTAAGCTTAATGGATAGAAACAGCTGTCATTCTGGAGGTAAGGTGGAAGGAAAAGAAAGATTTGGAGAGTTTATCTTCAGAACTGGTTTCCTGTCATGCATATGGGACATCTGCAATGGGAGGAAATGATGATGTAGGATGTCATGTGGTTCCCCTGGTAAATTCACATCATTGTCCAGAGCCCATTGGTTTAGAGTCAACTACTGTAGGATAAATCCAGATAAAACTGATTCCCTGAGCTGTTTGCTGCAGCTCCTTGCCACAGCCTCTTCTTGACACCTTCATCACTCAACCTCCAAAATATTCAGTTAAACCATTGCAGAATAAGAGAAATAGCATCCTTTTTGAGGCAGCAAGCAGAGTAACGGATAAATATTTGTTCCAGTTGTGAACATGCAGCTTCTGACATTTGCATTCCTGCCTTCACTAATTATTGCGAAGTCGAGGTACCATAAACATTCTGGTGGTGCCAAGGGCCTTGAAAATCAGCATTTAGAGAGGAATGGGAATAGAGACGGCCGTCTTCTGATTGCAAGGCAGCCCGAGGTCTAAATGGCAACAAAACGTTGTACATAACATCTGATTCACTGTGTGGAGAATGTAAAGAATTGAGACCTCCCGACACAGTTTACATTGGACCTTTTTATGACTAATTGTGCAGAAAATAGCTCTGCTTGTAGTGTGCATGGAAACAGTTCAGGTTTCTGCTGTGTGTCAGCTAATGGGCTAGCAAGGCTTTTTTAGCACAACTTCAAAGGCTCTAGCAATGGAGGTCCTTTGTGAGGGAATTATCTCCTGCTCCTTTGTACCCCTTTATCCCACTAAGCCATGGAACAAAGAATTGTGAAATGAAGAGACAAAGTAATTTGTAGGAGATCTTGAGATCTAGATAAAGCACTAGTATATAATATACTAGCAAATAGTATTTGCTTAGAAACATTTTTCCTGCTTTTTCCATCAAAAAAAGATTGTATTTTTGTGCGTAGGAACACCCAAGTTCATTTAACTTTTGAAGGATGCAACCTTATGCTTGGTTATGCTATAAATGGGGTCACTAAGATGTCCCAAATGGTAAAGGGGAGCTTTAGTTTCAAAGGTCAATTAGAAAATGCTCAATTGCAACTGTTAGATCTGGCTGAGAAGTATACTTTTCTCCTGACCCCAGCACTTTCTGCTCAAAGAGAAGGAAAATGGATTTAAATGTAAATGCATGAAAATCCGCAAATAGTTAACTGGATATTTTGTTCCAATACTTCAGAGTATTTGCCTTGTATCATCACAAATATCTTGAGTACAAATGTGTAATGGACTGTTGCGTCAATATTGTATTTTATTTGAAGAAATTATTTTTTTATTTTCTTATGTTTATATTGTCTTAAACAATTAGGAGAGCCTTTCTTGCATATCTTCATACCCAGGTACTTTCAAATTCTTATCTAGAGAAATCTTTTCTGTCTGCTTTCTCTCCTATTTCCATACTCGCATGAAATTCCCAAGGCAGTCAGCATTCTGACCTCTTGGATCCAGCTTTCATCAGCTGTCAAGGTAAATTTGGTTACCACTGCAAGAATAGTTTATCCAGCAGGTTTACAGTGAAGAGGGGAATAGTGACACAGAAGCAAGAGCATTACTCTGTGCCTCTAAGTTATCTGATCTGCCTCTGGTTGCAAAAACTTCTTAATACCTTTTGGAATGAAGTTTTCTGTCCAGGGAGAGAAATTTTTTTGAAGTTTTTAGTAGTAGCGCACACATATATGCATACATACACACATATGAAGTACACATAAAATTTGAGTATATATAAATGAAACCCATTGATGTTGTAACTAATCTGGCAATTATTACATATTGTGTTTGTACGTATGGGCAGCCAGAGGCAGGGAATTCTTACTGACCAAATCCATGCTGAACAGAAGTGCTTCACATCCATAGGTTAATGTGCTTTTTATTACATGCCAATAAAAGTACTATATTGTTGTCAATATTCAACATCAGTGCTTACCTCAACTTGTATGTGACCATAGGGAGCTGCTTTATGTAAGGCATTTCTCATATTGAAAGTCATCCTAGATTTTAAAACAAGATAGGTTTATCAGTAAGAAGCAAGCCAAAAGAATTTCTTCCAAGAATTCTTTTAGCCTTGGAACTACAGCAATGGCAAGAGACTTTTTATATTTCTTTTGACGAAGCTGCATGGGATCTCCCAGGTGCCGCCTTTTTCCACAGACCTTACCTTAGTCTTCCACATATTCCTGGTCCTTTGTACTCTGGAAATTTCTGCATCCAGAGCTAGAGTGGGAAAGGTGCTGGAGAGTCCACGTTTTCCTCTGCTGTCATGCGCTGCAGATCCCAGTGTCATCATGGTCTCAACAGAGTGGGCAGGAGCAGGAGGCCAGGAGGTATCACTTTCGGTCTCATCCATGGCTTGAAAGGGATTTGCATGTTTTGCTGGGGGAGCTGATGTTGGTGTAGGCCTGCCATTTAGTGGATGAGAAATTGTAACTATTGTATAGTTTCCCTTTTTTCCCCTGGATTTAAAGCAGTTAAAATTGGGTTCTTCTGGGTACTGTCCTTATGTCAAAGATCTGCTGGATCTGGGACAATTTATTTCTATTAAGAAATCTCTTGCCTTTTAAGACTGCTTCAGGGAAAGGAAAGTAAAGCATTGGTTTTTGGACACAGAAAGGTCCCTGACCTTGACGCCGTTGGTTTTGATTCCTCAGTGTCACTTGCCAGTGACAGAACTGTGGCCATTGTTTGCTTTGGCCACTACATAAAAAAAAACAGGATATGATCAAATCCAGTTAATCACTCACAAATGTCTCATTTCTCAAATCCTGAGGGTGTGTAAAACATTTTTGGGACTGCTCTCTGCTCCTTTGGCTTTTATTATAAGTAAGCTAGGGGAAAATCAAATTTTGAGTAGTCTTAAAAAGAAGCGGAGGAATTCTGGAACACGTTACAGCTCTGCAAATGTATGTTTAATCATTTAAAGAAATGTCTTTTGGCTAAAAGCACTTACCAGTCCTTGCAAGTTGCACTAAAAGCCATACAACTACATCATTCTCACAACTGATGCGAATTAGCGCCCTTGTTGGCAGTGTAGGCAGAGCGAAGCAAGCTTAAGGAATACTGGAGACCGAATTACTCTTACATTTGTTGTGACTTTATACAGCATGGGTGAAATGTCCTAGGGCTGACTCTGCTCGCAGTTACATTAAGTCATTATATAGTGGTATTGATTGGTGTTATTTTCTTTCCAGTTTTTTTCCAATGACTGTATGAACAGTGAGACTCAGGCATGTCTTGCCTGCCTTGTTTTTTCCTCTGTGAAAAGCATTTGATTCTGAATTGGAGACAGATAGTTACGGGCACCTCTGTATTAAATACATATTCAATATTTACCCTGTGCTTAAGACGTGCATATTCCTTCTGAGCAGCAAGCTCTAAGCACCAAAGGAGTGCAGGTTCTGCATATGGAACTCACTGCTGCAAGATGTCATGGGGCAAAAAGTAGATGGAGGCAGAGGTCTGAGCGCATTCATGGCAAATTGGTCTATTCAGAGCTGGCAGTGAGACGTGATGACCTGGCTATAAATGAGTCACCCAGCCATGAAGAGATAGAAGTTAAAGGATGTAATGGGTGAGGACTGTTCTGTTATTTCCTAGTCTTTTTCATTTATGTATTTTTACATATTTACTATTCACAGTGAGCCACAGCTGGAGTCAGGTTACTGTACTGCATAGGCTTAAATATAACCTGTTAGTGGAGTTCTTGTGTCCTTGCTTTATATCTCAAACCCATCCTGAAAACAATGTGAAACTCTGACAATAAGTTGAAAGCTTTGGAGGGATTACATCGCCTTATTGAGTCTGTGTCCAAAGTCCTTTGAGGATTCCCATTGACTTCAGTAGGATTTGGTTCAGACTCAAGTGTATAGAATTCCCTTAAGTAAACTCTTTCAAGGCCCATACGTGCTGCAGTACTTATTGGGCTCTTTGTTACTTCTGTGAATAGGAATGCAACCTTTACACTTTCACCAAAGTGCACTGATTTACAAAACTAATTCTCCTCATCTGGGAAGAGATGAAGTTACCATCCTGACCCCTCCCAACTCAGCTGAGAGGTTGATCAAACAATTTCTGAACCATGTCCATTTTAGGCGATGAGCCATAAATTGAGCAACTTCAGAACTCCTTCATAAGCAGATGCCCATGAATGATGATGGGCAGGGTAGACATCTGGGAGTGTAAGTTGTTCCAATTCATGAGTCAGTGCCCAACAGTATTCTTTTCACCACTGCTGAATCATTCAGATACCCACATTAGAAGATCCTTTAGTCAATGCACATAACAAAAGTTGCCATTTAAATAAAAGTTAGCGGTTTGCAAATTCCTGTACAATAAAGTAATATTAAAAAAGAATCTACCTAGGTTTTGTTTTATATGCATGGTCACGTGAGGAGAGGGACGGATAAACAAGATGGAAGAAGATCATATCAGGCTGTGTGCTGTTTGTTCTCCTGCTCTTTGCCAAAGGCTGTGGGCTAAGCAGTTAACAGTTGTGTCACCTCAACTAATAGCATAATGTGCCTTTCCTGCTAGAGGTAAAGTTTAGCTACTGGTAACCTTGTGTCCCAAGCCTGTTGTTCAAAAGGAGAAAATCAAATGAGTGAGCAGAGCAGTTTGATTGACAGTGCTATTTTCTACCTGTATTTTAGGTCACTTCCTGGGTAACAACACTGTGATTGATGTACTGAGACAAGCAGGATTTGAAGTGGAGCACACCCCTCCTGGACAACCGATTGGAAAGTAAGCAGCTGCCCACAGATTATTAATCATTTTCTTTCCTTATCTTTTTTTCTTCTCCTTTTTTTTCTCTAATGAAGCGAGATTATTGCCTCAGTAAAGGAGGTGAGGGGATGTGGCACCTTCCATTCCCACCCAAATTCCAGACAAGAAGCGTGCTATTTAGCATCCATAGTATGAGTCTGGAAAATTAGGGAGCTTCAGTGGCTGTTCCTTTCACTTGTGAACATTATTCCTATCGCAGCTGCTCAGTACTACCAGATCAAGGACACTGCAGTTTCTTCCTGTTTTCAAGAAAAGTCTTGTTCTGATAATTTGCCCTGTAATTTTTTTTTCTCCGTGGATTGTGGTTGCTTCTCCATTGCAGAGCAGTCAAGTGCCACCAACTTCCTTTCTCTGTCAGGCTATCTTCTTCAGGTGGGATTTCAGTTTTGCCTGAAGGACCATGTTGAATGTAGCAGATGTATCTTACATTCTAGATAGTGAGCTGTACAGGTAAAAAGTGTTTGAATATCCCCCAGGTGTCTCCATCCATCTGATCAAGTGTAAAGCAGGCAAGGAAGACTGATTACCAGGCTCTGGGCAATCTTCATTAGTATAAGCTGAAGTATAGCACAAAATTGTCCTCAACTTGTGAAACAGATTTCCTTCTTTCCATAGACTTCTCTTTCCTGACCGTTCAGATGAGGTCTTTGTTTGCTTGAGGTTATGAATATCTTAGAAAATAAAACTGGAAGAGGTGGTGAGATACCGTTAGGTTTGCAAAGTTAACCTTTCCTCCTGCAATCTGCAGATAAAAATTGACTGAGATTTCCCCATCGTAGGATTGTTATCCTCATTAGGATAAAATGTTAGCAACATGGTCCTGTTCCTGGTGGGGCCAGCATGACTTAGTCCAAATATGAGGTGAGTTTCAGGATGGTGGAATTAACTGGGGGGTTAGGAGATCATGTCTGAAAAAGCTATGTTTCTTGTATTTGGAAAATCTGTCTGATTCAGCCTTGTTTGTGAAACAGTCACAATGATTTATATAGAATATAATATGGCTCAACTGTACATAAGTGTCTTTGACAGAGCATTTATCCTAAATGATTCTTGGAATATGTTGAGCCATAGAAGCCCAGTCTTAAATAACAATGGAAAGAAGTGGAAGAAAAAACTAACACAAAGCAGAGCATATGTTCAGAGGAGGTTTCAGAAGCACTTGTGACAGTGAGGAAAAGTCAGTGCGACACAGGAAGAGTTGTAAATGCCTTAACTGCCTGGAGCTTAAAATTTTGGCTAAAATGAACCAAAGGCCTGTGTCTGAAAAACACAGCAAAACAAAATCCAAGCAATCAATAGCAAAACAGCTGAGTTTTACAGTTCCTGCAGGGATGCAGTTCCTGCTTTTCTGACAAAAGCTTTCCTTTCAGGGAGGCATTTTCCGTTGAAATTTTCATTCAACCGAAAGTATCATCGTGAAAAGTATTTAAGCTGAAAATTGTGAAAACTCTTGATTTATTGGTTGCTTGCAAGTCTTTGAGAAGTGTGAGAAAGATCCAAAAACAGTCTCTGTGCATTATGGTCTTGGGATATGCCTCTGTAAGTCATCACAGGCTTGATGGAACTTGATTGGGAAGGAAAAGTGAAACAATGCCACTACTTAATGTTGACCAATTTGCAGTGTGGGGGTTTTCTCTGTGTGTATGCATTCCTCAACCTTGGCAGCAACCAAGGTTGAAAGACAACCATGTCTTTTCCATGATGGTCTTTCCTGAAGTTTTCAGTTCCTGGGTAAAATGTATCAACATATATACAAGAGCTGCCCTGAAAGTAATACCTCCTGTTTTATTACTTCGACCTCCAATGTCAGAGGTGGATGTTAGTGGCATGGCAGTAGAGGCTGAACCTTCCCACCATTATTCTGTTACATTTTGTTGACATATGACACTCCATGTGGAAAAAATTGCACTCATTGACATACATCAGTGCTTGCTGAATGTTTATGGAGACCAGTGTATGTTAGAACAGTGAGGTGGTAGGTGGTGCATTTCTGCAGTTGTAACAGTGGGAGAAAGACAAAGCACGTTCTGGATGACCATGCAGATCTTTTATGAGCGTGACATGAGGGCTCTTGTGCATCACTGGCAAAAATGCATAGCTAGTGGTGGTGACTGTTGAAAAATAACGTTTTGTAGCTGAGAATTTGCTCTATCAAATAGTGTCCTTGGGTTCTTCGTATCTGTCATATTTTCCATGGAAATAAATAAGAGGCGTTACTTTCAGAGCAACATCTACAATATTGATGTGCATATTTTGAGTATGTTGACATTTGTGGGTATTGGACTGAGTTGAGAGAGGGTATAATGGTTGTATATAGTAAATAGCAGTTGTATTCTGTAGAGATGAGATGTTCTGTTAATGAATCTGTATGTATCCCTACGGTCTGATCATTTTTGTCTTTCCTTCTGTTGTTTTTTCTTTCTTTTTTTTTTTTTTTTTGCTTTTCTCCTTCCTCTTTAAAAGATGAAATTTGAAAACAACTAGAAGGGCCAACAGGAGGAGATGTTTTTGAGGTAGTAGCTACACTAAGCCTGTGTATACATTGAATAAACATGTAAAAGCTCAAAACAAATTTTGAGCTGTTTGAAGGAAAAAAATGTTTTATGAATCACTGAGATGCAGGTGGCTTTGTCTTGTTTCTTGTGGAGCCATACATGAAATAAGAGGTCTTTCTCTGCTTTGCTTGAACCCATAGAGACATTTCTGCTTTACTTTGAAGTAGGCTTTGTAAAGGAGTCCAGCTTACTGCATTGCATTCTGGCACTGACAGCTGAAAAATCAGACGGTTTTCAGGGAAGGTCATCTGGACTCCAGTGTAGAGAGTTGAGGAGGGAGCTGTGGACAGCACGAGGAAAAAATGTAAAGACTGGAGGAAGAAAAAAAACAGCTGCATGCTTATGTTTTGGCCATGGGAATTCAAAAAAGGGAATTCTTGTGCACTGATTGTGCCCAGAAGGGCCAACAGGAATGATTAGACGTGGCTTGCAGGAACTTCCAGAGGTCTATCATATCTAGACTAAGGTTGGTTGTGGCTGATTATTTTGGCTGCTTCATGACAAGAAGTTGCTAGATAGTCTTTCTCAGCTTATATCAGAAGCCTTGTTTTTTGAAATGATGAAAGTAACCTTAGCAAAACATCAGTGCTACTTTCTACTTAATGGGAAAAAAGCTGATTCGCTTGTTTTTTTGTTGTTGTTGTTGTGTTTTGTTTTGTTTTTTTAGCACTTTGTTCCTACAGAAGTATAATTATTGTTATGATTGAAATGATCAGTAGTCTGAACTTTATTGTTTAATAATAATGAAGCAGTATTGTCACAATTAGGTGGGGTAGCATGGAGTCAAGTTTAACCTCTACCGTCCATTTCAATTTCAGAATGCTCAATACTCTTTAGAAAGAACTACTACTGTTCCCATGTTTCCGAAAAGCCTTGAGAAGAGCTAAACAGGACAAAAAGCAAAGCTGCCTCAGCTTTGTTACATTCAGGCAGGGTAAAACCAGGTGGTTGTTAGCATCTTGTGTCTATGATGCTTAGCACTGGTTATTAAATGGCTCATCTTGAAGACAACCAAAGTGCATACCTAGAGTTTCACTTTTCTTTTGTCTAGTGACAAGCACAGTTTTGAGCCAAGCTCTTACTTTCTTAAGGTGCTGGAGAAAAGTAAAGTGAGACTTCAGCAGGCTGGAAGAGATAGCCAAAACATGGAGGGTTTTCATTGCTGCAGAATGAATGAACTGGAAAGGAAAAGTTTGTGTAAAGTACACTTAGGTGCTGTAAGGTATCTGGGAGCTCTCACTTGATGGATTTCTGAAATGCCCTATCAGCTGTTTTTCGCCTGGTGGTTCCATGCTGACCTTTGTGAGTCCCATCTGTAATCCCACTAGCTGACTATTGAAAATACCTTCTTTAAAACTCAATCTTTTTCTGTAAAAAAAAAAAAATACTCTCTTGTACTCAGAATGCAGAACCATGCTGTAAACACTTAAGGACTTGTCCTCACATTGGCTTCATGTATTTAATTCTGTGCCTGATGGAAGATGTCCTGAATCTGTTTGCCTGACAAACATCGGCATTCATATTTTCTTTCTGTTTTGTTGGCCTTTGCTGTTGTCCCCAAATAAAAGCACCGGGAAAGGAGAAGTATCTCATCGCATTGCCCTGAGATGAATAAGAGGCAATTTTTATTTCTGGGGTTCAGACCAATTGGCTGTCCTTGGCTGGCTCTTCGGAGAGCAGAGCTGTCTGGGTTGTGGAGAGAGGAGAGAAGGAAGAAAGTTTCCCCTTAGATGGATTCCAGTGACTTGAGTAGATAAGGGGCCACAGCTGCTTCATATTTAATTGGAAACAGCCAAATTGCAAGATCAATTCAGGAAGCACCTGTGTCCAGTGATGACTCTCTATTGTTACTGAGTTCTCAGAATCGGCTTTGACCTTCTGCCATGTGCTGAGCCTTGACATACTGCAAACGCTTTTCTAGGCCAAAAAAACACACTGCTGTGCTCATTTCCATCAGACTTCTCTTTCAGATATTATGCTCAATGCTGCCTTCTTTCAAAATGGGAGAATTCCTGACAGTCTTTTATTTCTGGCCATCTGAGAGTTTACTGCAAACTCTCAGAGCTCTGCTGTAGAAATTAATTACCCTTCCTCTTTATGGTTGAATTTCCTGGCCCAAACAAAGCAACGTGTCTTTGCTGTTGTAGCTTCTCCTGTTCCTTCTTTCTGAAGCAAAAAGCTTGCTCATTCTCCTTTTCCCACAGCATCCTACAGGTGTGACCCTGGCTCCTCAGCATCAGCTCTGTCTCATAATGGAAGTTTCTTTGCTCCCCTGTAAATATTTTTTTTATTTCCCAAAGGATGAAAGCACACCTGATCCACACATTGATGCAGCTTTTTCATTCCATCTGGATTCATGACCTTCAAAAATCCAGTGTGCAAAGCTGGGTGGAAAGTGTTTGT